TCTGTCTGTAGCTTGTATTTATTTTTATCTTATTTATTTATTTATATTTATTTTGTCTGTGCCAGGTCTTAGCTGCAGCACGTGGGATCTTTGTTGCAGCATGTGGACTCCTTAGCTGTGGCATGTGGACTGCTTAGCTGTGGCATGCGGACTTCTTATTTGCAGCATGCGGACTTCTTAGTTGCGGCATGCGTGTGGGATTGTTTCCTGACCAGGGATTGAACCCGGGCCCCCTGCCTTGGGAGCATGGAGTCTTACCCACTGGACCACCATGGAAGTTCCTATTTCCATCTTCTTGCTATTGTGTTTCTCAGAGTAAGTGTTTTATTTTGATGTTCAATTTATCAGTTTTCTGTTCTATATTTATCTTCTATTTATTATGAGTATCCTGTCAAGACTAAGTTCTTTAAGAATATTATCCCTTTTTCTTCTAAAATTTTATAGTTTTACATTTTATATTGAAATCTCTGATCCATTTTAAATTATATTTTGAATAGGGTTTTAGGTTTAGATACGTGTGTGTGTGTGTAGCAGATAGATATATAATTTATTTTTTGTATTGATCTTATAACCTGCAAACTTGAATTAATTTATTAATTCTAGGAAGTTTTTATTTTTTTCTGCATTTTTTGGGATTTTCGTACATACATAGACAATTATGTCATATGTAAATAGGTATATATTTATGTTTTTCTTTTATAATCTATATGCCTTTTTTTTTTTTTTTTTTTTTTTTGCCTTATTGTGCTGGGTAGACTTCCAGTACTACGTTGAATAACAGTGATGAAGGTGGGCATCTTTGCCTTAGTCCTAATTTTGAGGAAGATATTCAGTCTTCCATTATTAAGTACAATGTTAGCTGTGTTTTCAATTAATTATCAAGTTGGTGACATTCTCTATTCCTAATTTGCTGACTTTAAAGAAAAAACCATAAAATGGAATTGATTTTGTCAAATGCTTTTCTGCATTAATATGTCATTTTTCTTCTTAGTTTAATATGTTGGATTACATTAATTTATTTTCAAATGTTGAATGAGCCTGGCATTCCTGGAATAAATTCCACTTTGTTGTGATGTTAGTTTTTATATATTGCTGGATTTGATTTGCTAATAGGCTTTTGAGGATTTTTTAATGGAAATTCATGAGAGATATAAATATTTAGTTTTCCTTTTGTCTTTGTCATGTTTTTGTGTACAGGCCTCATAAAATGAGTTGTAAAGTATTCCCTCCTTTTCTGGAGGAAGTTGGGTACAACTGGTGTTAATTCTTTAAATGTAGAAGAATTCTTCATTGCAATCAACTGAGCCTGAACATTTCTTTTCGGGAATGCTTCTTGCTATGAATTCTATGTATTTAATAGTTATAGAAAAATTTAGATTTTCTGTTTTATCTTGAGTTTTCATAATTTGTGGCTTTGTGATATTGACGTCCATATTGGTTGGTTTCACATAAAGTGTCAAAGTGACACACACAGAGTTTCTGTAGTGTTCCTTGATTATCCTTTCAGTATCTGTGTAGTGATATCATATTTTTCATTCCTGAATTAATTTGTATCATTTTCTTTCAGTCATAGTAGAGTTTTATCAGTTTTATTTCTATCTTCAAAGGATTAAGTTCAGGTTTCTTAGATTTTCTCTTCTCAACATGATTGAATCTTGCTCTTACATTATTTCTTTTCTTCTGCTTGCTTTGGGTTTTTTTACTCTGCTCTTTTTATTTCTTGAGATGAGAGAAGAGACTATTGATTTGAGACTTTTCTTTTTTTCTAATGTAAGTTTTTGGTGGTATGAATTTCTTGCTCAGCACTGCTTTAGCTCCAGCGCACCAATTTTTTTTTTTTTTTTTTTTTGCGGTACGCAGGCCTCTCACTGTTGTGGCCTCTCCCGCTGTGGAGCACAGGCTCCAGACGTGCAGGCTCAGCGGCCATGGCTCACAGGCCTAGCCACTCTGTGGCATGTGGGGTCTTCCAGACCAGGGCACGAACCCGTGTCCCCTGCATCAGCAGGCGTACTCTCAACCACTGCCAGTGCACCAATTTTGACAAGATTTTTCCTTTTTGTTCACTTCAAATTATTTTCTCATTCCCTTTGTAACTTCCTCTGTGCCATGAAACATTTAAAAGTGTGTTAATTTGCAAGTGTTTGAAGATTTTCTTTTATTTTGTAAAATTTTTATTGGAGTTGATTTACAATGTCATGTTATTTTCTGGTGTACAGCAGTGAATCAGTTATATATATACATATAAGCACTCTTTTTTAGATTTTTTTTTCCATATAGTTCATTAGAGTTCTGTGTGCTATACACTAGGTCCTTATTAGTTATCTATTTTACATATAGTAGTGCATGTATGTCAATCCCAATCTTCCAATTGATCCCTCCCCCACTCTTTCCCCACTGGTAACCATAAGTTTGTTTTCTACATCTGTGACTCTGTTTTGTAAATATGTTCATTTCCATTGTTTTAGATTCCACATATAAGCAATATCATATATTTGTCTTTCTCTTACTTCACTCAGTATGACAATCTCTAGGTCCATCCATGTTGCTGCAAATGGCATTATTTTGTTCTTTTTTATGGCTGAGTAATATTCCAAGTAGTTTCTCAGTTTATTAATTGTGTATCAAGCTAGTTAGCTGATAATTAAGCTAATTATGCTTTTGTCAGTTGGCAGTCAGTTCCTTAGAAAACTGAAAGATCACTAAAATAGCCAGTTGGTCAGGCAGGTTAATGGTACTTGGAGACTGCAGTCTCCACAAAACAAATTTGTTTCACCCCCATTATAGTGTGAAGCTGCCTTGGTAGAAGGACAGAATATACTATTTCTGCTAGGCTTCTAGGGAGACCTTTAATGTGACAGAAGAGGTAGTATATACCTGGCAAGGAAAAACAAAACATGGAGGTAGGTCAGAGCAGATGTTATACCTGTTCTTTTGGGGTCAGACATGTCTCCTAGGAGATAGATTCTTGGACCTGAGAAAATAAAAAACTTTTCCTTGTAACTCTCAGGAAGTTGATTGGGAAGTAAAAATGAGCAGAATTAATGATATGATGAATTAAATACATGACCCCAAGAACTAATTATTTTGCCCTCCCATTTGGTTGATCCTGAAAATCTAATTTATCATTGTTATTGTTATGCACAATTTTTTTAATTGGTACTTAGCTATAGCTATGTAGCCATACATAGCTATGCAGACATAATTTTGAACTGGGAATACTAGTTTATCGAAAATAAATTTTGTTTTGTCTGAAAGAGATCTGAAGTACACTTCTGAATATTAAGTTTTCTCTTAGCAATTTTAGAAAATATCCAAAAGAGGAGTCCAAGTGGGAGCTTAGAGCAATAATTTCCTTAACTATTTATAATAATAATGAATAATCTCAAAATATAATTTGAAGAATCAAAAGGAAAAATTTTCAGATATCACTTTTATAATTCTATGTTCAACAAGTATTTTTTAGTGCCCAATACGTAGAGGGACTCTTCATAATTTTTTAATGCCCAATACGTAGAGGGACATGTTATGAACAAAACAGATAAAATTTCCTGCCTTCATGGAGGCTTCTTTTATTAGCTCGAAGACCCTTAGTAGGCAGGCAGACAGAAAATTGACTCTGCCAGTGTCTCTAGATAAGGCACCCATCTGTTGGAATAAAAGTTAATACTTGGAAAGGAGATGAACCAGGCAGGGAGAATGGAGCATTCGTGACTACAGCATAGACCATGGTCTCCAGTTGATAATGTATTATCTGGAGAGGCTTCCCCACCAAGGAGACAGTAGATACAGCATGAGTGCCATCAGGGGACTTTGTCACCTGGCCTCCCATTCAGGCCACTTGGGTGAACTGGTTCCATTTTGGAGGGTAGATGGTCCTGAACTTAATAGCAAATCCAATCATAATCCTAAAAGATGATATATGAAGGGTGTAAAGAAGATGATTCTACATATCTTAAGAAAACAGAGAAATTTTATGAAAGAATGACTTTATATTACCAACAATTATAAAGACGGAGTAGACAGTAGTCTCTTGATTTTCAGGGAATATAGTACTAACTGGACATTATTTTCTCTTATCGCAGTTGAATCTTCTTCACAATGCTGCTGGCAGCTCTGGAGTAACAATGTAACTGGTCTGTGATGTTTCATTTCCAAAGTCCTAGGAGGTATTCTCCTTTTCTAAACTTGATTCAAATACCCTTCAGTGAAACATTATCAGGCCAGAGAGACAGGGTATTTTGGCTCATATGAGGTATGTGCCATCCCTGTTCATAAAAGGAGAATCTGTTTCTAATATGGTCATTAGTCAGTTATATGAAATATGTTTACAAATGACAAGTTAGTATATGAAGATATTTAAAATCAGTAGGAAAGGGATGAATTAATCAAATGGCATATGGAGCACTGGCTACTAATCCAGAAGAAAAAAACTACATTCTTGTATCAAATGACATCAAAGGAAACACTGGATATATACACAGACCTTTACTTTGTATCCAGGGTAAGATGGTAAATGTTTTGCCATCAGTATGATATGGATTCAGGTAGCAATCCTGAATCAGGGTAGTGGGGGCTTGATCAGCAACTTGATTCCAGTTAGTCTTATCAGAGAATAGTCTCTTACCATGTGAATCTAGTTGAACAACCCAGACGTTGTGCTCAGCAGCTGTGATTTTCCCCCCACAGTTCACAGTGCCAAACAGGGGTCCTTTTATAAGCCTATAGTTTTACAACAGGCATGTCAGATAGCTAGGTACAGTAAGAACCCAAGAGTCAATGAAAACGCACCAAGTTTCATCAGAGGGAATACTGGCTAGAGTTGAGAACATCTTTGTGTTCTGCCCAGTGACAGGAGCAGCCACATTAGTTTTGTGGTCTGCATAATGGCACTGAGGTTGAACAGTCAGTGTCCAAGTGGTTTCAACTAGCAAAACCATCAGTGAAACAGGCCCAATTAGAGTACTTATGAGTTGAGGGTCAAACTGAGCCAGCAGCTTTGCTTAAGGCAGCAAAGTGGGGGATACATTTCCTCTCTAAGGGATAGTTGCTACTATTCCATGTATGACTGAGATACTGCTGGGACCAGGGAAGTCAGAACTAGGTGTGGCATACAACATGAGCATTCTCAATCTACTAGACAGTCACAAAGCCCCAGTTAGATGAAAGGGAGATAGGGAAATTTAGTTTAGCTATGAAATTTTTACTAATAGATTACCAGCACATGTGATATATCTAACAAGGCATGACTCCATCCAACAGGGTTTCCAGAGAACCTTGAAAGAAATCCTGTGTGAATTCTCTGATACCCTCTCAGAGTTGCCTTTTGGGCAAAATTCTTCCTATATTCAGACTTATATGGTTTTTCTCCTTTGTGAATTTTCTGATGTCAAATAGGTTGGTCTCTTAGTCAGAAGAATTTTCCACAGTTATTATATCAATTTGGTTTTCCCCCTCCCTGAATTCTCTGGTATACACTTAGGGTTGACTTCTTAGGCAATATTCCATATTCATTACATTCATAAGATTTCTCCCCACTGTGAGCTCTCTGATGTATTCTAAGGTTTGATTTCTGACCAAAAGTTTTCCCACATTTATTACACTGAAAGGGTTTCTCCCCTGTATGAATTCTCTGGTGATCGCCAAGGATTGCCTTCCGGACAAATTTTTTCCCACATTCATTACATTTAAATGGTTTCTCCCCAGTGTGAATTCTCTGATGAACTCTGAGGGTTGATGTCCGGGCAAAAGTTTTCCCACACTCATTACATTTAAATGGTTTCTCTCCTGTGTGTGTTTTCTGATGCTGAATGAGATGGTCTTTTCGCCAGAAGGATTTTTCACATTCTTTACAGTGATAAGTTTTCTCACCACTGTGAATTCTCTGATGTATTCTGAGGTTTGACTTCTGGCCAAAAGTTTTCCCACATTCGTTACATTGAAAGGATTTCTCCCCCGTGTGAATTCTGTGATGATCTTTGAGGGTTGACTTTTGAACAAAAGTTTTCCCACAATCACAACATTCATAGGGTTTCTCTCCTGTGTGAATTCTCTGATGTCCCCTGAGGGTTGACTTCTGCACAAATGTTTTCCCACAGTCATTACATTTATAGGGTTTCTCTGCTGTGTGAATTCTCTGATGTGTACTGAGGTGTGACTTTTGGGAGAAAGTTTTTCCACATTCATTACATTCAAATGGTTTCTCTCCTGTGTGAGTTCTCTGATGTTGAATGAGGTGTCCTTTTTGACAGAAGGATTTTCCACATTCATTACATTTATAGGGTTTTACTTCATAGTGAGTTCTCTGGCATACTTTGTGGGCTTTCTGGTAAGACTTCCTATTTTCATGACATTCAAAGTGTTTATCTCCAGTTTGTGTTCTGTCATTACATACCAATGAATCCTCTTCTGTGAGAGTTCTCTGAGGTTGAGTAAGGTATGACTTCCTGCTGAAATTATTCCCACTTGTAATACATTCACAATGTTTCACAGTCATGTTAAATTTATTGTATTCCTTGATAACTGACTTCTCACAGAAGGATTTCCCACACTGGTTAAGATGAGAGTGTTTCTCCCCTGTCCCAGTTCTTTCGTGGTCAAAGAGAGTTGTCTTGTCATAGTTTTTCCTAAACTCTTCATCTTTACAGGATTGTTGTCCTGTATGAGTACTCTTATGTTTAACACAGGCAGCCTCAACATAGAAGGCTTTTCCAATCCCATTAAATTCAAAAGCTTGCTTTAATGTTTGACACTTCTGATGTTCAGGAAGATTTTCCTTATAACTGAGGGCTTCCTGATTTTTATTATATTCATAAAATTTCTCTCCAGTATGAGTTCTTTCAAGTTTAATTTTGAAAGGCAAATTTTCACATACATTATAACAATCTGTATTTTTTGTTGAGTAGGTTCTACTATTAATGATAAATTGAGAAATACTTTGTGAATTCACTCCGCATGAGTCACATTTACAGGACATTTTTGATGAAGAAACAGGAACTATGTGCAGATTAAATGGTTTTCTCAAAACTTCTTCCTCTCTAGGCAACTGTTTATTATTTATAAATGTTACTTGCTGCAGGTGTTTGTCTTTGATTTTTTTGTTCCTCTTGATTAGATTTTCATCTCTGTAGTCTTCTAAAACAGAAAAATTGAAAACACTTTGAATCTTACTATTCTTATGGATGAGGCTTATAAACATATAGCCTTTGTTGCATTTCATTTTTTGGTTTCTCAAGATTAATTTGTGGTTTTGTGTGTATGAGAGAGAGACACCCTCCTTTAAAAAATAATATTGACACAGTGAAAATTAGAGAGGAAACTGGTTATAAATACATTATCTGTAGTTGGATTGTGGTAAATTGGATTTTCCTACCTGGGTGGAGAAGGGAGAGAAATTAGACTTTTATGGGAATGATTTTAGGGAGCAGGAAAACCAGATAATTAATACAACATGGGGGGTTATAAACTTAAGTAGAGTAACAAGAAAATTAGGAGATAATAAGCATTGATAGGCTAGGCCCAACAGGAGAATGGTTTGGTTTGAAGAAGTAAATTACAGTAGAGGTCCAACATTATCTAGGCTCTACTGGTAGAATCCTCAAGAGTCTTCATACTTCAATTTGATATCATTCCTTATTTCCATTCAATCTTTCAATATCAAATTAAATTGATAGCACCAACCTCCTCATGATTAAATGAAGAGGTTTATAGCTCAGGATAAAACCCATCTTGCAGCTGTGAGTCATAGAAATACAAACAAGTATAACACTGATAAAAGGAAAATCAATTCTTGTAATTAAATTAGATTCACTGCTCAATTCTGGCTATGATACCTTTGACTTATATCATCTAACAAAAGTGCAGATAAGTGAACCTGATCACTTCATTCTAAATTTCCACATTTCAGTTTGATATGGGGGGTGCAATTTTAAATGAGGTATCATGGAAGACCTTACTGCAAAGATCCAAATTCCTTATGCATTCTAGATGCCCATCCTTTCTGGCTTATATGAACTGTGAATACTATTTTACTTTTGGTTCATCTTGTAACTTTCTGTTAAGCATGAAACATAATTTATATTTGCATAAAACTTATATGTGCAATTTAACAGTATAGAGTGAACACTCATCGAATCAGAAACCATGTCAAGAAACAGAACATAAATGGCTCTGCAAAAATCCCTGCCTGGTAACAACTTCCTCATGCTTAAGAGTTCATCACTCTCCTGATATTTACCTCCTTGATTTTCTTTGTAGTTTTACCACCTATATATTAATTCCTAAAAATGTAATTGAGTTTTGCTTGTTTCTGACATTTACATAAATGTAACCATACATGCATATTTATATTTTTTGTTTAATATTATGTTTGCAATCATTGTATAAGATTTCATATAGCTGTATAATTCTCCCTTAAGAAATACTATTCCTTTATTCTATTGCTGATGAGCCCAATTTTGGCAAAAATAACCAATATTGCCATAAATATTGTTTTATTCATTCTAGAGAATACAATCATGCCTTTTTATAGGGTATACAGTTGGGAAAATGATTACTTGGTTACAGGTGTGTAAAACTTTAACTATTCGATAATATCTTCCTGATTTCATAGTGGTTTTATCAGTTTACATTTTCAGTCAATAAATAAGGGTCTTTAATATTTTACATCTTCCCCATGACTTGCCATTGCCAGATTTGTTAATCTCATTTCATGCTATACATATTTCTTACCTCACCTTATACTCTATTTTGCATTCTGTGAAAAGTAATGAGATTGAACACATTTTCAAAGATTTAACAGCTGTTTGAAAGCTCCTATATATAAAGTCTTTCACCTAAACTGAGTTGCTATGCTTTCCTATTTAGACTTGCAGAAGTTTTTACATTTTCAGGATGCTTATCCTTTCTAGGTTACTTGTATTGTATATCTATTCTGCTACTCTGTGGCCTGTCTCTTCATCCTTTTAATGTTATCATTTATGAACAAAATTCTCAATTTTAATGTAGTCAAGTTTATTAATCATTCTCTTTTGACTGGTGTTTTTTGTGCCTTTGGGACTTATAAGAAAAGTCTTGAAATATGAAGGTGTTCACTGCAAAACTGACCTTCTGGAGTCTAACTACCCCACAGAATTCTATTAGTGCTCAGTAACTCACCTTTATGGCTCTGGTTTGAGAATTCTTCCTCTAAGAACCAAGGCTCTTCTCCTTGCTCCAATTTGAAGATCACCTCTGGTTTGAAAATGCAGTTCCCTGTAAACAGGCAACAACTGAGTACTTAGGCCAGATGATGAGCTTTTTAGTCTCCAGAAGTGGAAAAAGCTTCAGGAACAGCATCCTGAAGGCCCTCAGCTGAATTTATCATTGGCAGTTGGTAACGGCAGTCAAACACTTTCTATTCCTCAGTAGGGCTTGGTTACATTATATTCCTTAATAAAAAGCCTAAATGACATTAAAATCTAAAGTATTCATGTGTACTGATGCATAAAAAGGAAATGCCTTCTGTATGGTTATGAGGGTAAGTTATGCTTATATGCTCACCCACTGAGACTAGGTTGTTGTAGTTCTCTAGCATCACATCTCTGTAGAGGGTTTTCTGAATAGGACCCATTTGCTGCCACTCCTCCTGGGTGAGTTCGACAGTTACGTCCTTGAATGACACTGATGCCTGCAAGAGTATATTTCTGTTTAATCTGGGTTTAGAATTAGATGACACAGGAAATACGCATGAAAACAGTTCTTATGTTTACCGTAAAGAGCTGAAACAAATGAATATAAAGGATGCCTATTTTGGATCTAATTTTAGCTTATACTTTGGAGGTGCTCAATTAGTAAAAATATTAATAACTTAATTTGTATGTACTTATGAGTTATATACTTGTACTCTCAATAAGTATATTAGTAAAACTTTTGTCTTTTTAATTTATTTTTTAGCAGAAAAATATAAATACACTTCCTACAATCTTCATCCCACTCTACTACCCTGGGCATGCTCCAGTGAAGCGGTCAGCAAATTATGACCTGTGGCCAAATCCAGCTTGCCACTTTTTAAAATAAAAGTTTTATTGGGACACAGCAACCACCCTACCCCCAATAATTTTGTATTGTCTATGGTTGCTTTTATGCAAAAACAAGCAGAGCCTAGCAGTTTTATCAGAGACTTTATGACTACCAAAACTGAAAATATTTACTACCTGACACATTACAGAAAAAATTTGCCAACCTCTGGACTAACAAATACAATTAAAGGGAAGACTGACAGCATAAAAATAACAAAGAAAACACAATTTATAGAGGCAGATGTATGAAGATTGAAAGGAAAAGGATGCAAAAAGATATATACATAATCACTAACCAAAAGAAAATTGATGTGGTTATATTAACATGAAAAGCAGTAGACCTGAATGTAAGAAAGTATGAAATATATATATATATATATACATACACATATATATAAATGATAAAATGATTCTTTTAACAGAAGGTATAACATAAATTGATATGCTTCCAAATACAGTCAATTCTCATTATTCAGATTCTGTATTTGCAAATTCACCTACTCACTAAAATTTACTTTTAACTTCCAAATCAGTACTTGTGATTTTGCATTCATTTGCAGACATTCACAGAATGATAAAAAATTTGCCCAATACACGTTTTCCCAGCTGAATCTGAACAAGATAATGCCTTGCCTTCTTGTTTCAGCTGTTGTACAGTAATCATATCCTTTTTGTAGTTTATTTAGCACTTTTTTTCATTTTTGTGCTATTTCTTGGTGGTTTCACATTTTAGAATGGCCCCATTGTGTATTACAGAAGTGCTATCTAGGGACTTCCCTGGTGGCACAGTGGTTAAGAATCTGCCTGCCAATGCAGGGGACACGGGTTCAAGCCCTGGTCCAGGAAGATCCCACATGCCATGGAACAACTAAGCCCATGCGCCACCACTACTGAGCCTGTGCTCTAGAGCCCATGAGCCACAACTACTAAGACCGCGTGCTGCAACTAATGAAGCCCACGTGCCTAGCGCTCATCCTCCGCACAAGAGAAGCCACCCCAATGAGAAGCCTGTGCACTGCAATGAAGGGCAGCCCCTGCTTGCTGCAACTAGAGAAAGCCCGCTCACAGCAACAAAGACCCAATGCAGCCAAAAATAAAAATAAATTTATAAAATTCCATATTTAAAAAAAAAAGAAGTGCTATCTAGTGTCCCTAAGTGCAAAAAAGTTGTGATATGCCTTATGCAGAAAACAAGCATGTCAATAGGCTGTGTTCAAGCATTAATTACGGTGCTGTTGGCTGTTAGTTCATGTTCATGAATCAACAATATTACTAAATAAGATGTTCTTAAACAGAAACACACATAACCAGGTTACATATTAATTGGCTAACGAAAACGTTGTGACCAGGAGCTTGCAGGAACCTAATCCTGTATTTCCCCTGGGAGCAATGATTCAGTATTTGCTAATTCAGTGTTCATGGCCACTTTACAGAACATAACTACAGAGAACAATGAGTATTACTGTATATTGTATATATATAAACAATAGTTGAGAGAAATTAGATATACAGACACACAATTTTAATTAGTGTTTTTAATACAACTCTCTCAGTAACTCACAGGACAAGCAGACTGAAAAACCAATAGCGATTTAGAACAGGGGTCAGAAAATTATGGGCCAAAGACCAAATCTGGCACACTACCTGTTTTTTTGAAAATAAAATTTTATTAGAACACAGCTCATGTTCATTTGTTTATGTATTATCTATGGCTGCTATAAGACTAAAACTGTAGAGTTTAGTAGTTCGAAGAAAGACCATATCTCCCACAAAGCCTACTATCTGACATTTACCAAAAGAGTTTGCTGACCACTGATACAGAAGACTGAAATGACGTAGTTACCCAACTTTACTGACTGAAATATAAAGGATAATCTGATCATAACATAAATTATTTTCTGCTACACTTTGCATATTATAAAACAAAAACAGTAAGTCTCGCCAAATTAGAAAAAATTACAATCATACAGGGTGGCTTTAGATTTTAGCTCAAAGATGTAGAAAGCTGAAAAGCGCAATACTAACATCTTACAAGAACAAAGCTTGGTGAACTGAAAATTAATGTATTTTTGAACTCATTAGAGAAATGAAATTGCATGGCAAACAATCTGAAATCAGGAGAGAGATAGGTACCTATAGGGAGAATCAGGACCCATTCACTTGCTTACTGAACCATATGCTAAACTCCATATAAGAAGATAGGAAGCTTAAGCTATAAAAACCACATGTATGCAAATGTGAAGAGTGTGAAGTCCCTAGGGAGATGGTATGTGTCACAGACATAGGGTAATTTCTACCTTCTTTGTGAGATTTTCTCAAGGAAGCCAATCTGTCATAGAGAGGATTGGGGGAGAATTCAGAAGAAGCCCCTTTCTGTCCCATGTGGTGATAGCTAGTGTAGAGGAAGAACAGTCAGTGCTTAAATCCACTCAGACTCATGCATATCTCCACTAAAGAATACTTCATCTGTAAGGGGAAAGTCATCAGAACACATAATGTGATTGGTGGGATCTCACTGCAGTAGGAAGAGAGCAGTAGCAGACACTACCAAAAATGCTGCCTAGCCCTATCTGTCCTATCTCTTCTAAGTAATAAAATGCTGAGACCCAAGTCCTCAGTATCTAAGACTGAGGTTCAATTAGAAGATAAACCCCATTCCCAGAGAACTGGCATTATTTGGCCTGTCCGGTGGTTTCCTAGACCACCCCTCTTCATTTGACATGACTCAAAGCTGTAAATAACATTTTCCCTGGGGACAAGACATTACTTTTTTTTAAAAAATCATGGGATATTGTTTACCATCATGGCTACTTGACTACTACAGGCAGTTTTTAACAGCTAAGGGAAACAACAGTATTACTAAAAAGCTTAAAGGGAAAAGCTGGAGAATGAGATATCCAGAAGGGGCTTTGAAAAGCTCAGGTATATTCCTGATGATCTAAAAGGTGACACACAATCCCTGGGCTGTGTTCACATTCAGGAAAGACCTGAGAAGGTGCTAAACCCTTGCCTCTCACTAACCTTGAGGCTCTATGAAAAAAAAGTGAAGGCTAATGTGGAGTAATAAAATGCTGGGCTAATTGCTGAAGGCATGCCCCAACATACACACAGAGTAACTTAGCAAATATTGGGAACCTTATTGGTTACAAGTATTTAAGGAAATCATTGTCCAATTACTAGCTGGCTATTTAATTAATGGAGCAGTGACTTCAGTTGGCTACACATGACAAAGAATACAGATTCTACAGAATTAGTTCAAAAGAGTCACTAGACAAATACATAACAACAGCTGCAGTTGTTGAGATTCTGATTACACATTACACATATTTTAAATGTCCAGTTTTCAACAAAAATTTGAGACGTAAACAGATGAGAAACTATTACTCATATATAGGAAAACAGACTATGTATGAAACAGTGTAAAATCTGTCTCTGAGTAAGTCCAGACATTGGACTTACTAGACCAAGACTTTTCATCAGCTGTTTTAAATATGTACCAAGTACTAAAGGAAACCACATCAAAAGAACAAAAGAAAAGTATGGAAACAATGTCTCATCATATAAAGAATATCAATAAAGAGACAGAAAGTATACATATATTGAAAAAGCAAACTCAAATTCTGGAGTAGAAAGTACAATAATTGAAGTGAATAAGTCCCTAGAGGGGTCAAGAGCTGAATAGGCAGAAAAATCAGCCAATTTGAATATAAATCTATTGTGATGACCCAACCTGAGAGTATACAGTAAAAATAATGAAGGAAAATGAACAAAAAGTCTCAGTGATTTGTGGGTCACAATCAAACATAGCAACATTCACATACCAGAAGTAGGAGAGAAGAGAGGAAAAAGGGCCTAAAGACAAAGAATAAAACTTGAAAGCAGCAAAAGAGAGGTGACTCATTGCCTCCAAAGGGTCTCAAATAAGATTAATAGCTGATTTCTCATTAGAAACCAGGGAAACCATTAGGCAGTTGTATGACATATTTAAAGTACCAAAGGGAAAGACTGTCAACCAAGACTTGAATATTTGGCAAAACCATCCTTCAAAAATGAAGAAGAAATTTTGACACTCCTAGGTAAATAAGGATTGGGAAAATGTCATTAGTATACCTGCTGTATAAGAAATATTAATAAGGGAGTCATTCAGGCTATAATGAGAGTACACTGGAAAATAACTCAAAAATCCATATGAAGAAATAAAGAAAACTATGTAGGTAAAAGTAACTACAAAGGTAAAAATATAAAAGACACTATAAATGTTTTTGTATTTATTTTTCTCCTGTATGATTTCAAGACCACTACATGAGGCAGTAATTAGAAATTGCTACTAGTATACACACATGTATAAAGTTGTTAATTTAGATGACAATAACAGCATAAAGGAGTGAGGAGGGTGTGAAGCTATAGAAGAACAAAGTTTTAGTATACTATTGAAATTAAGTTTGTATTCATCTGAACAACACTGTTATAGTTGTTAATTGTAATCAACAAGGTAACCACTAATAACTGGGAAAAAATGTAGTAAAGGCACAAGGTAACTGAAATGGTATACTAGGAAATATTGACTTAACACAAAAGAAAGCAAAAATTGTGAAGTAGAAAAACAAAA